AATTTCTTCTTGATATTCAAGAGCCTCCATCATCTGATATTAATTGCCTTCACAATCGCATCTCCTGCTACTCCCCAAATGGCCCCACTGCCATTCAAAATAAAGGCCATCCAAGATAATCACCACTGGTTATGACTTAAATTCAGTCCCTAGATACACATTAGAATGAATGTGTATCTAAGGATAAATTGAAACAACTCTGGGAGACATAGAACACGAATCTGAATTTCAAATTTAACTTCTTTATGAACATTGTAATTGTATCTCTTTGCCAGGTAACAGTAGATGAGGCTTCCTTCTTAGACAATGAGAAGTAGACAACTCAGAAAATGTTATCTGAGTGCTTAAGTGAATGAATGGATAGCCAAATAAGGGTCTGTAGTCTAGGAAGAATGAGAGGCCACTGCTCATGGAGGGGAGGTTTGGGTAGAGTGACCAGAATTGAGGCTTCTGGAGAATGTGAGGCAGTGTGTACATACCAATATTCATGGGGCTGGGACCCAGAGAGAGAAGGCTGAGGAAGCTGGTGACAAGAATGTGTGGAAAACAAACTTTCCTACGATGGATTTTCTATCTCCCAAACCTAGGGTGACTCTTTTTGTACTCTCTCCTGTTTCCTTAACCACTTACCTTAGCAGACTCCATAGTTGGGTTGGAAGTGGCAGTTTAGCAATAACATTAGAATTTTGGACCTACAAAAGATGATAAGCTTAGGCCACCAAGAGCCCAGTATCAACTCTCGATGGTTCTTCCCTCCCCTTCTCAGAGTGAGAAGCTTAAGCCTGATGGCTTTAGCTTTCCCTAATCTTTCCAGAGGAGCCCTGTTGGTGCAGTGGTTAAGAGCTTGGCTGCAAACTGAAAGGTCAACAGCTTGAACCCACCAGCTGCTTTGGGAGAAAGATGTGGCAATCTCCTTCCATAAAGATTACAGCCTTGGGAACCCTATGGGGCAGTTCTACTCTGTTCTATAGGGTCACTAGGAGTTAGAATAGACTCCATGGGACAAAACAACAATAATCTTTCCAGCACCCCAGGCCATACAGAGGTTGTGCCTAGAATACAAGGAGTTCTCATTGCCAATGCTCACCATTACCCACCCAAGAAAGTGTCCTTCCTGAGCAGCTGAGTATAAGATTCTACCAAAAGGGAAAGCCAATAAAACACTGACACAGAGAGAGCTCTGCAAGAGAAAGCACAGAAGAGAAGAAAATTCAAAGTGAAAGGACATCTTTAAAGAGACAGGAAGAGAAGGTTGGATGATGAGAGAGAAACATAACCAGACAGCGCTGGGAAGAAGGAGGGAAAATCTTCAGAGAAATCATACCTGACCTACCAATTCCTGGCTTTTTCTGGTACAAAATGCATCTGTTTTTCTGTCCTGTCCAATACAGGAAATTGTCTGAGATCAGTAATTCTTTAGACATAAGAGAACAAGTTCTCCTCAGGTTGAACTATAGAAACACCACACAACATATGTTTTTCTTGTAGGAAGCCACAAAATAGACAAGAAATAGAGTAGTCCAAACTCTTGATAATCTCAAAGGAAAATCTTCAGTATCCATATTCTTGAACCTCTTCTCCACTAGCCATAGTGGAAATGCTGAACAAAAGAAGTGCAGAATTTTTCTTATTTGATCTCAAGCCTATCACTTAAACATCTCCATTTATTTCTCATTGCGAATCTAAGCACAGTACTAAAGGTATATGAAAAATTCAGATCTATGCTTTTAGAAAGACACCTGTATTTAAAAGGCCAGTGCGTTGACCAGCAGGACCTGGCAACACTAAGGGATATCTGGCCAATGATGTGAAATTGCAGCCTGAAACTAGATTTTGTCTCATTATCTAAGTAAAGTGAACTTTTGAACAGGCACAGGGAATTCTCTAGCACGTGGAAATTTTAGATCTTTTGAGCTGACTCAATATTTTCAACCCTCTGAGAAATCTATTGGGAATTGTCAGTAAATAAGATATTCTTCTTGCTCTTGAAAAACTTACATTCCTGGCAAAGATCTTACCCTTATATCTAAAATGTTCTTCTTTATGAGAATAAATTTAGCCCAAACCAGCTGTTTTGTGTCTGACTTTATCTCATTGTATTGACTAAATGATTCAGCTAAAATTTTTTTCTGTCAGTGGTCTCTTACTAAAATGCTATTTCCCTGTGA